TAATTGCAGAAGAAATGCAAGGAGTTATTTGAAATTCTGGTCAAAGCATTAGCAATGCTTCAGGGAGAGTCCAAGAAAGACGAAGGAAGTCTATAGGAGGAAAGCAAGAACGCTTTCCTCCTAATGACTGCACTTTCCCAATATGCATGTTCCCATGAGTCCAAGGGTAGGGACATCCAAGCTAGAATTGGGGTCAGGCTATCACTGCTCCAAACAAAATTCTGCTTTTATTTCAAACCTTCAACAGTAGTTACTGGTTTACAATGAAATAGAATCTTCTATTTCTCTGGCACCAAAGAGGTTCCTGGTTCCTGCAACCACTTCCCACGTCACCAGAAGAGGAGTCTGGCTTGGACAAGTTGGGTCTGTTCTCACAAAAGCTCATATTAAGCAGTAGGAAGGTGGAAGTCTTGAGACGATGAGCAAATGATCCACATCATGGCATCCACAAGGAGTACTGGGATCTCAGGAAAGCAGTCAGCTATCAGGTTCATGCCCAAAACGATGCAGCAGGCACCATGTTAATGGTTGGATCTTCTTAATTCCTTCACGCTCAGTGCCCCCAGTTCCATGCTAGAATAACAATAATAATGTTCTTCACTGAGACAGAAATTCTAAGAAAAAAGATTGACAATTCATATAAAGGAATCAGCTTGGAGGCTGGTTGTCCATGGGAAGAGAGGCACAGATGCAAGGTGAACCCCATAATGGGCAATAACCACAGTATATAAAAATATGCAACTGAGATCTCATGCATGGTTTGTAGAGTGTATAGTTCAGCTGCCTTTGAATTTGTCACGAACAGGAATGTTGTAAATGTCAACAGGGAGTGAGTTCCAGAATTTCATTGCTCTAGAGTGGAAAGACTGATGAAAGGAAAAGGTTCTTGAATTAATAGGTTTTTTTCATTGGCAAAGTGTGCATTGTTTTGGTGAGTGGGAGCTGTGAAAACTTGAAGACAAGGTGGGGAAGGTGTGCTCAGAATTTTGTGACCAAGGGAAGCATTTTCATATTATGCTAGCGGATCAAAGCCAAGCCAGTTAGAGTTTTTCAGAAGTATTACGAATGGATGATGTACAGAACATTTGTGGATTATTCATAAACTCCAAAATAAAAAAATTCCTAAGATATTGATGAGGAGCAAGAAGCATATACTGGGAGATAGTGATGTGGGGGAGAATGAGGGCATTTGAAAGCAGTTGGAATACATCATGCGGGATTAGAGGAGACAGAGCAAATGAGGTAGAATTTGATTTTTTTTTTATTGATGATGGAGAGGCAATGTTCTTTACCAGAAGAAGAGCATCTACAGTTAAGTCAAGGAGTTCAATTTTTTGAAGTGACTGACTTTTTGATATGCTCAGAGTTTAAGGTAAGGCCATGTAAGTCTTTTATAAAGGATGATGCAAGCCAATTGGGCTGGGTTAAGAGTATGGAGTGGGTCTTATTGACGTTAATGCACATTTTTTGTTAACCCAGTTTTGGAGATTGAGTAGTTCAATTTGGAGGGTCTCCTGAACCACCAGGAGACTTGATGGGAAAAGTAAATTTCGGAGTTTTCTGCATGTCAACTTTAGCTTTGTTTTATACTCAAGGGAAGGTCATTTATGTACAAGATGAAAAGTAATGGGCAAAGAATTGAACCTTGTGGGACTCCAACACTGAAATTTGGAGGAGTGTCAGAGAGGACTTCTTCCTTCGATCTGGGTAACTCGTGTCAGATAGGTAAGGAGGTGAGGAGTGAGAGAGTACAAGAGGAACATCCATCCATCGCTTATTTGTAGGTGAGAATGTTATGATCTATGGTATCAAAAGCTTCACTGAAATCTACAAGGACTGCTCTTGTGACGTATGCTAAGTCCATAGCTTTTATGGTGCTGTCAGTGAAGTTGATGAGCTGAGCATGTTGAGTGACACTTTCTAAAGCCTGATTGGTGGGAGGAGAGGATGTTGGTATCTTGGAGGAATAGGTGAAGGGGAATTAACAAATGCCTCTCAAGGATTTTGCTCAAGGCTGGTAGTAGTGATATGAGACAGTAGTTGGAAGGGTAATAAAACCTTTCTTATGGAGGGTGATTACTTTAGCAATTTTGAAGCCTGTGGGATAAATGGAGGATGACAGTATGGTATTGAAGAGATGAATAGTTGGACAAAGTCCCAAGCATTGCTAGAAAACTTCAGTGCTTTGGGAGTGATACCATCAACTCCACAAGAGGATTTACTAGGTAATTTAAGGATGCATGCCAGTGTTTCATCTTCAGAGAAGGAAGGGGTGTCAAAGTTAGCCATGGGAGGGTCAGGATAGGATGAGATGTTGGGGAAGTGCTTTATGAGGTTGCTTGATTAAAATATGTATTCAGCTCATTTGGGAACAGGAGGGGTGCTTCTGTTTGTTTATTCAGGTCCATGGTAGTCCATAACTGGAGAGTGTTGTTTCCCTTTTTTTTTTTTATTAAACTTTTATAATAGGAGTACTTTTCCTGCTTGTTTTTTCTGACTACAGCATGATAGTATTTTAATATATTCCAGTAGTCTGGAGAATTCATTTTAATAGCAAGTTTGTGGAATTACCAGTAATTTCATTCCTTACTTTATTGGCAGATGCATTTAGTGATGAAGGGTTTGTGGTTTAAATTATGCCTCAGGAATATATGCTTGAGTTTGGAGGGTTTTTTTTAATGAGGGAATGCAGATAAGTATTTATTTTTCAGCTCGTTCATTAGGGTCTGAAGTACGGTACCCAACGATTCCCAATGGCGATTTTTTACATCAATAAACTTTGAGGGGTTAGGATCACAAGGTCTGTAGGTAGTATGGGATGGTGAGTTGGCAGCAGCTAGGAACTTTTTTATGGTCCCAAGTAACACTGGTTTCTAAAATCTAAGGAACAAATACATTTTCCCAAGTTCCATAACTTCATGAAAATAGTTAAAACATATAGGAGTATGCAAATTTATGATGCTACATTGCTAATAGCACATGGAACACGGTGGAGATTGCCCAATGACATGCAAATCATGTCTTTAAAAGATCGCACTATGAGAGAGGGTTGTGCAGTTCACATTTTGATTGCATGCAAGTTAATTTCAAGATAGCAAAATTATGAAAAATGACTGAAAGGAACACTCTAACAGAGCCATTGAGGGGCTTGAGGTTGGCCAGTTGCAAGCTGAAGTAGTCCAATGACTATATGTCAGTCATTTGATGGTTCACAGGCTTTGGGAATGATTCCAACAGATGGAAACATCAATGTGAGGCATGCACCACTGTCAGGGGTGGCCACACACACTATTGACCCATATATAAAACTCCATTCTGGGAGTCGCTTAGGACCCCTGTGGCATCATTGCAGGGTAACAATGGATATTGTGCCTCCTGGATCGCAATCATTAGCGGGGGTTGACATCCAACAACACATTCATGGCTAGTTTATCCTCATCATTCACATGGTGTTCATCATATCATGAATTCTCAATGTGTTCCTTAAGCTTTGGAAACCAGTGTATTAAGAGTAAGGGAGACAATAATTGTGAAATGGTCACTGATAAGAGGTAGGGATGATATAGTGTTGATTTAATTGAAAAGGCTGTTAGTGTAATCATGGTCAATGATGGTAGAAGCTTTCTCAGTCATTCCTTTGGGTAATTGTATGAGCTCCTTAAGATTTAGGGCTTTGTACATGTCAAGACAGGAGTCTGAACCCTAGGGTGCTAATATCTAATAGGTTACATTTTATATCACCCAGTAAGATGAGCTTGTGGGATAGTATTGATTCCACTAGAGTGTGCAGTGCTAAGAAAAATTGGGTGGAGGCATCAGGAGGACAATAAATTCCACATAGGGTAACCTTTTGGATTTCACAACAGCTGATTTGTGTTCAAGATCATAAGTGGGTGACTCTAATGGGATGTAAACAGGCTTGAAGCCAATAGATACAGTACATGGATGAAAGCAATTATGCCTCCATCATGCTTATTTCTGTCTTCATGAAGGATGTTTGTAGCCCAAAACAGATCATGAAGTATCTCAAATGATGGGATCATGGGATCAAACTTGGATTCTAAAAGGAAAATAACATTAAAGGGAAAAAGAGATAGGTAGCACTTGACATCATGAAGAATTCGAGATGGAAGATGGAATATATTTAGGCAGCCCATAGTGAAACCTCTCTTAAGGTCTTTCCATGACAGGTGGTAGGAGTCAGACATTTTTGATAAGTTATTGTTGGTAGGATGCAGGAGGTGACTTCAGGGGTAGCCTTGTTTTGGGTACAGATAGGGGCTGGTGGATGGGGATGGGCAGATATAAAAATGGATTTTGAGAGCAATATGGGGGGTGGGGGTGTGAAAAGCAGGGCTAGGTTGAGGTGGAGATGGGAAAGTATAGATGGGTAACACTGAGAGGGAATGAGGTTGTTCCTGGAGAGGCTTTACTATAATTATTTTTCCTTTTGGATTTAGGGGAAGACTATGGCAAGTGAGGGGCTGCTGTGGCATAGTGCTAGTGCTCACAAAATGAATGCTATTATAAATGCACCAGTTTCTGAGGTGAAGGTTGGTTTAGAAGCTTGATTGGTTGAAGTGAGGTTGATCATATCTATGTGTGATATTAACAAAGATCACATGACAAGATGGGCAATTCTTTTTTACCAGGAGAAGAGAGTTCAGGCAGCCAGAGATGGTGTCTAAAGAATTGGGAGTTCAAGCTATGTCAAATGTGCTGCCAATCACCACTATGGTATCACACTGTTGGCTAGAGACAAGTGAAGGGGCACAGGATAAAACCGAGGAGAGAGTAGCATTGGGCTTGGATATAGATGAAACAATGCACTTTGGAAGTTGGGACTGCAGATCTCCAGTGAGATGTCCATGGGAATCTGCTAATAAAAGGATACTTTCCTTGGATTTTCAGTTCAAATTGGAATGATGACTGAACTGAGTCTTCAGGGATTGGCTGGAAATGGTCCTAACTTCAGCAGGGGAGATAGGATGTGAACTGACTTCCCCAGACCTTGGGATAACAGTGAAGTGAGGTTCATCCATACCAGAGGCAAGGACTTCGAACCTGTTCGGGGTCAGGCATGACAGAGGTTGCAGGCAGGTGCAGGTGTCAAAGAGTTTGGCTGCACTCCTCCCTGAGATGGGAACACAAAGATATGGAAATATTAACCATCCACTCAGAGGAAAAAATAAAAATCCACAAAATAAAAATTCACCTAAAATTCCAGTAAAAAACTACATATACAATAAACAAGTTCTCCAAAATGTGTAATCAACATGTTCTTCCCTGCCATTTCTTTGCCAAAAGTATCATATGCAAGGCTGAGGGATTAGGATGGTGGCAATCAGTGAAAGCTGAAAAGAAAACGTATGTGGTAAGGTTAATGTCTCTACACTCTGGGCACCCATGGAAAAATGCACATCAATTGGGTCTTGCACTATCACTGATTCATTAAAAGTAGTTAACTCTGTATGAACCAGTGATAAGTGTATTCAACTCAGAAATAGGAGGGGAAATGAGAAGAGATAAGAAGCCAGAAAACAAGAAGATGGTTACATGTAATTCAAAACTCAAGCTCATCAACCAAGGTGGATTTATTACACATATACAAGGAAGATATCCATGAAATGGCATAAAACCATGATCAGTAAATAAAAGAAACTTAAAATGTTGGATGATGGGCTGTATTGGTAGCCTGAGATAGGAAACCTTCCTTTTAATAATAAGCACTTAAAGTGAACAACTTCTCACCACTGTGCAGGCCCCTGCCTATGACAAGATAGGCCATCGAATGGACATGTCCAAGGACTACCCTCGGACAAAAGATTTAATCCATGTAAAGCTAACTAAAGCCCAGGATTTTCTTAAATCTCTTGATGGCTGCCTACTTGTGGGTTGCACAGATTTCATATGCAATCTGAATGCTGACTTTCACTTTTAAATATGAATACTACTTCATGATTCCAAGGAAAAAATTGATAATTGCAAAGGAGGGGGTAATCTCCACATGCTATGAGGGTCCCTCAGAAAGTCATGCAAAATTATGTTGTACTTGTTCTGTGTTGAAGTTAATTATATGAAATTAACAAGTAATGTCCATTAGGGCTTTGCAGTGTACCACCTATTTCTCGACACGGTCACCATTATGGGCCATGCATTCCATCCCAATAGAAGCTCTTGCCCTAGTGACAAAGTCACCTTTGAACTACATTCTTCATATCCTCATCATTCTCAAAGTGATGTTCTTTGAGGGAGTCATTCATAGGTCCAAAGAAGTGGTAATTGGACAGCATCAGGTCTGAACGACCAATTGGCATAGCACTCAAAAGTTGATATTATCATCATTCATCATATTTCTTGATGCTCTTGTCAGAGGTGGCAGTGATGGGTCATCCTTGAACGTGCCTCATCTTGAACACCTGTCCTTACAGACGTGAAGCAACTCACCCATTGTCTGACAATGCCGTCAACACAGATGTCACCATGAAAAACTTGCAGGAGACAGTGGATATCTGTAGGCTCTACACCCTCCCAACAAAGTTTAAAAAATTATTCATTTTCAGGCTCAGGTTAACTATCTACTGCAGAGCCCAACAACCAATTCATTGAGAAGGGCCCAGATTTACTGATACAATTCTTTTATCCTGATGAATACACTAGAAATCAACATTCTGGGGTACAAAGCCCAAAACTTTCCTGAAAACGCTGCTGGCCTTCATTAAAATTTTCTTACTAATTCCATTTCACTATTTGTACCATTTCTTCAATGATAGGATGGCTAGCAGATCTCAACCTTTGTAAAATCACTTCCCCATTTCCCTAAAATATGCACACCAAAAATCATCACCTTACATGAATTCGACCTGGAGCTATACGTTGAAAACAATGGGTAGTTTCTTTTGGAATGCCCTGTATATGTTCCAATGACACTCATGTGCCCACATTGAGGAGACTCCATGCTTCCAGTGTTCAAATAACTGAGTCAGAATCAAGTCTACTTTCATAAGTACTAGGAACAAATTTAGAGCTGTTGGGAATAATTTCAAGTCTTAGGTTTGCAAATTTCCCTTGTGGGTGCAGCCCTGTGAAACTTAGTATTGTTGTCTTGCAGAATGACAACACTAAGCTACAAATGGAAACACACAACACTTAAGTGTAAGTCTTAGCATTGGCATTCTACAGCAAAACAATGCTGAGGTCCACAGTAGCATAGGCAATTGCAAGAATTAGCATTGCCATTTTGCAGCATGACAATACTAGGCCTAGCACAAATGCACAGCAAAGGTATGTGTGAGGATTAGCATTGCTATGCTGCAGCATGATGATGTCAGACCTCAGTCATAACAAAAGGCTCACCTATAAAACATCCAACATGTAATATGAGTAAACCATGGATGCAGTGATAACATTGTGACCTTCATCCCTGAATGTACTATTTCCTTACCATCTGCTCTTCCAGAAAAGTTGAGGTTAACTTACCTCCAGCAACATGAAGCAGGAGGAAGAATGAATCCCAACTCCACTCTTGCTATGTGGAGTCAACACCAAAGCTCAGTGTCCCACATCAAAAGGGATCCACAAGGAGGATAAATATAAAAAATATCAATTTCAGAAAGCTTTGACAAAATCCAAATAAACAATACTCACGGGTTTAGAGAGTGAATGTTACAAACAGCCAAAAATAAAAGAAAAGTTTGTTTTTCTGGTGCATTCGTACGACCCAAACCAGATGGCAATTACACTTTGTGAACGTTGTCCAATCGAAGGAGACCGGTGAGGAATTCATAATGGCCAGCAGCACCCGTCCTGCAACTCTTGAATTAGTAAGATTCTCTCAAGAAATTCCCAGGATGCAATCCCACTTGTCTTCCATCTTTCACCTAGTTTTCACAAGTCCCACCAACCTGTAATTTTCTTTTTCTCTTTCAGTAACTTTGTGCAACATATGCTACTTTTCTGTCTCTAGGCAATACCCCAACCCAAAATCCGTCTCTCGAAAACTATGGCAAGGACACTTAATGATCTCATCCCTGGATGACACGCGGTGGAAACCCATCGAGATGGATGTCTGTCTCATCTTCTGCCTCTCTATCAAACCATATCACTTCATCTCTGACGACGATGTTCTGAATGCACTGCAGTGTCCTCGGTCATAGTAAGTGCATCGTTAGATACGCTCACTCATGTCGAAGGGACTGACCGAAAATCTACTTCTGCCGCTGGCTTACCAATAAACATCCCGAGGCTTCATTCCTGGCAGTAACTTTAAAGGTTCTCACTTATTTCAAGATCTGAGAAGCAGTACTTCTACACCTTGAGCTTGACTGAACACAAAAAATTACAGATAAAATCAAGTGAACATGGAAATGAAATAACTATATGTAATCCTTTCTATTTACAAGTCTCTTTATGTGCTAAACACACGCGGGGATTCATATACCTGACCAGAAAAATTAATGTGATCCGATAAATCCTCAAAGCAATGTTCCCAACTTGTATAGGGCTCTTTCACTGACATCACAAGATGACATTTAACAGAGGGGCGGAGCAAACACCCGCCATGCTGGAGTACAGGGGAGTGGGGATTTTGATTGATAGGTTTATGTCATGGGTGTAGCCTCATCAAGTCTGCATCATGAATACGTTTTTCCGCTTATTTTGAGACGCTACAAGGCATGGCAAAAGACCCATCTGGAGAAGATGAAGATTTGCGAAGACACTGATCCTTATGCACTGAAGCCCTGTGATGGTCTGGTGGATCATCCCAATTTCTGGCCCAAAAATGCAACATGTTCCATTTTTCGCAATAGCACCTGTTAAACTTGGTGAAATTCTTAAAGCAATGCCCTTGACTGTGCGATGTCACCATGTTGTATCTTTTCAACGGAAAATCATGGCGATAAAGGGTTGTTTAGAAAAGAAGGCCTATGAAGGAAGAGACTCCACAGAACTGAGCCCACGATATGATAGGAAATTCCAACTACAATATTCACTTCTCTCTCCTGTACCTACACTTAGAGCATCACATGCCATCAAATTCAGGTCTTACCTTCTCACCTGAGGCCTAAAGAGACAACCTGATCTAGAATCCTGTGACGAGGACACCTGTTTTGGGCTACCTTCTTGATCATGGATTTAGATCTAGGCCTATACAGATACCGCACAACCGATTGGAGAAACAGCATACATAATCATTTTTGCAGGTTCGTCACTCTCAAAGACTCAGGGAACCACCTTTGCAAGTGTGCAAGACCTGGATAGACCAGAGAAATTAATAATAGTTGAACAAAATATCGTTGTTCTTGCCAAACGTAGTCTGTCTGTACTCTAGCATGGCGCAGAGGCGGTGTCTCCAAAGCTGTGACGTCAAGTGAAAAGGCCCTATTGCTTTCTATATAATCTCCATAAACCATGCGCCACTATCCCTAACATTAAATGAGTTTTGGAAAGCTGGGCCGGATAAATCTCTGGTTGCTGTCGACATCAAATCATCCCAGCACCATGCAACTCAATTTCGTGTTCATGACGCCTGCCGTCCTGGAAGTGCGACCTTCACCTCAAGGAGCCAACATAAAGGGCATGGGGCAAAGTCAGGGTTGGAGGGGAAACATTCTGCATTCTGTCATTCTGCAGCATGACAATGCCAGGCCTCACAAGTGAAATGTTGCAGGTTTAGCAATGTCTCACCTGCCTCCTAGCCCTGGCAGAGCCCCATCTCATATACATTCTCTCCTTGAACTTGAAAACATACTTCCAGGCAAGAATTTCACACATGAAATGCGCGTACATGAAGCTGCAACGAATTGGTGAGGGGGTTGGGCAAGTGCCTCTGTGGAGGAAAAACTATCTCTCCAGTAACTGGAAAGAGTTTCCAAAATAATAAAGGTAACGAGTGATCGAGGATAGATTTACTGCATAGCCACCTTCAGTATTATGAGTATTGCTATAAATTGGGCTTTCCGCTTTTCTGCTACATGGCCTTGGCTCATCAAAGCCAGTCGACACGAGACGTGAACAGCGAAACGGAGTGAGGGCAACTGCACCACAAAGGTCTAGCTAACCAGGAAATGAGCATACGAAAGGGAATTTCATTTCAATTTCTGCCCATACAGACAGACCTGGTTTGGGTTCATTCAGGCTTGCCTCTGTATAGGAGGACTTTCTCGAGGTTTCAGTGATATTGATAAAGAACATGATTCACCATATATGAAAATGCTTTACTTGCTTACTTGGCCTTGTTCATCTCATCAGCAGGGAGAGATGAAAATTGCCGAGAGGCAACAATGGGAAGCTCCCCCAGCAGCACACAATGTAGGGCCAACATTGGCTGAGTGGGGGAGCTTGGACATAAATTCCAGTGGGTTGTCGATGTAGGCCCAACCTCTGTCGTGTCTTGGAGTGAGACATCTATCTCAGTTACTTGAACAAAAAGCTTCCCACAGAATAAGTGAGATGGTGAGTATGCAGCCTCTATTTCAGTGCAATCAGGGAGTGATTCATTAAGACCACAGTACCTTTCTAGCAGTACTTGATCCATTCCCATAAAAAAACACAAAGGAAGACATTCAAATTTCTTACTTCATACATCACCAGAAGAAGAGAGGTATGGATACAACAGAGAGAATGAACCATGACACAGCTTCCATGGAAGGTATCAACACGACGGGTGCTGAGACCTCGAGGCGGCAGTCTTCCGTCGAGTTCCCATTGATGACAATGCAGTCGGTAGTACGTCAATAGTTGGGGCTTCCTAACTTCTTTGACTTCAGCAAGTCCAGTTAACTGCTCCTGCAACAGGAAAGAAGAAGCAGCAAGGAAGCACAATTTCAACCTAAAGCATCAGACATTCACAAACAGTGAGCTAGTAGGTTAGGAGACAGTGCTGTTAGCATCACACAAAAGTAATATCATGAACATCACCAATACCACATTAATCACATCAACACAATAGCTCCATTGATCAACATGAGTCAAATCAACACACTTGGAGGACCTTTTTCAGGTGACCCCCCTCAGATTTGGATGATATTTGGTATACTTATCAACAATGGTGAGAAACTAATTCACACAAATATTGGGTTCATTAGACCCTTAGTTCCTTTGGTATGTGGCCACAAAATTTGAGGCTGAAATGCCATATTCCACACCGATATAGTCTTCTCCTTGAAACTCCGTTCCTAATTGTGCTAGAGACTTCATCTTAGGCTCATTTTTTAGTTCTACTCCAGTCCCTTCCATTAGTACTGATACATTTTGAGAAATGGTAAAAGTTACCATTCAGTAAGGAGGTCATGTTGATGACCTTTGACCTCACATTGTCAAAAACAACCCTCTTGAATTTTGATGTGAATTGGATGAAAGACATATGGCTACCTCTGTATCAAATTTTAACTTGGGTGCTTGATAATTTATGGAGATAACAGGCCATCTGCATGAAATTGATTAACATGAATATTCAACATTATTATGGGCACCTATGGGAATGCATTTAACAGTGTTATTTCAATTGAATCCAAAGTAAAAATGAGCACATTAAACTTCATTTTATTCCATGCATTCAAATGTTACAAGTGCATGCTTAGCTCCAAAATGACTTCAATGACAGAATGATGGACTCCACCACCTCCAAGCAATAGGTCTCAACAGATAGATCTCTGGACACAGAGGTGAAAAGCGTTGAGGAGTTTCTGGATTACTTCCTTGAAAAGACTTTCTTGATTGAAACATGATTTCATTGCCCAGCAGCAATCATCATTTCTTCAGAAGACAAAGGAAAACCTTGCTGAGGGGAAAGCCATTGTTCTCTAGATTTTGCAGAGAACTACTCCTTTGTTCTTCAAGATGCTGCATAAGGATTCCGTTGAAATAATAATCGGGCAACAATTCATCATTCTGTTTGCTTATTTAACACGTTGGCGACAATGCGTCCTGATGCCAGGATGCAGATTTTTTTTTCAATGAATACCCTCTGGAACTNCAATGCGTCCTGATGCCAGGATGCAGATTTTTTTTTCAATGAATACCCTCTGGAACTGTTGAGAACGTTCCAGAAGATTATAATTTCGTAATTACTGATAAAAATTCCAAAAAGTTCATCATTTTAAAAAAACTCGCCAAAAAAAATGTTTTCTGGGTTCCATGCGTCCTGATGGCAGGACACATTTTTTGACAAAAAAAAATGCGCATGGTCCCACGCGGCGGACAAGCAAAAATAGGCTGGTCGTCAACGTGTTAAAGATGCCTCACAAAGATGTGAATGCTGGAAATGAACTGCAACTCTTGAGCTTTGTCATCATATCCAACACTCTAATACATGACATAGTTGCAGTTTATACCTTCCAGAATTCTCATTTCACTGTTGCATGAAGAGGTGGCAACAGTTGGCCCTATAAAGAAAATTACCTATTTCTCAGATGGTGCAACAAGCCAGTATAAAAATAATGTGATGGTGCTGGTGGTACAATCAAAAGATTAGATGCAAGAGTGAGCCTCCAAGACCATATGATCTGCAGAATTCAGTGACCCAAAATCTCTTTTTATGAGCCAAAGAGAATCTGAGAACTATAAGGTTTCAGTTTGTCCTTGAGACCGAGATCAAAGAAACACAGAAGAAGCTCCAAAGATGGTTTTCAGGCATACAGGCAATTCCTAGAACACAGTCTTCAGTGTCACATTCTTCTATCTTCCTGCTATCATCAGAGTGAAACAATTTTCAAAATCAAGCACATTTGAAGATGTCAAGTTCAACACTCCAATGGAGATGTCACATTCAAGCATGAGAGGGTTTGTGACATGTGAATATGGAGGACATTGGTATCTTGCATATGTTCTTGCAAAATTTGAAGACAATGAGGAAATTCTTGTTTCTTTCCTTCATCCACATGGTCCATGAAGACAGAAGAATAGAAAAATGAAGGGACCTTCTTTGTCTCTCCTCACAAATCTGATGAACTAAGAGTACATCATAGTCAAGTCCTTTCACTCATGAATCCCTCAACAGTAACAGGACATACCTGAAAACTGTCCAATGACAAGATGGTGGATGCATCAATATGTCTTCACAGAACAAGAAATAAAGAATGTACCATCATGAAGATCTTTTAACTTGCTACTGTGATTAATGTATTGATTTCTTTTCATTGTTTCCCAGTTCTCTGTAGTGCAATTAACTGGAAGGCATTAATGAATGCAAGAATATTAACGTAGCAATCACTACTTTTACTTTTTATTCTAGAACTTCTGAAGAGCCCAAAGTAAAATTTAACACAGAGGTAGCCACATGCCTTGCATTCAAATAAGCCAACTTTTTTCAAAATCTAAAATGGTTGTTTTTTGTAATGTGAGGTTAAAGGTCATTACCATGACCTCTTCCCTAAAAATTAGCATTTAGCCAAAAACTGGTCCAATCTCTGAAAAGGACATGAAAAGAGCTTTCAAAAAACCCCAAGAAGAGGTCTCCAGCACAATTAGGGCAGAAATTATGAAGAGAAGACTGTCCCAGAGTGCAACTTGAAGGCATTTAAGCCCAAATTTTATGACCTCATATCTGAGTTATGAGAAGTTAAATGAACCCAATAATTGCTGTGAATCACTTTCTAATTGGTATAAATAAGCCTGCCAAAATTCATACAAATCAGATAAGAGAGAGAAACCTTTTACCACCTTGTTGATTTGACATGAAATGACCAACATATTATTAAAAAATATGAAAAAAAACTTCCAAGTACACTAAGTACTTTAATCCTAAGTACTAATTCTTGGAGAAGACATTTGATCATCCACTGGATGTCCAAGTGTCCAGGAATAAAGGTCCAATGGATTAATTTTTGTTAAAATTGGATATTTGGTTACTTATTTCATACTCAAAACTTCAATAAGTCAAGAATTCTGTTCAAATCTTCCATCAAAGCTATTTATTTATTTACTCAAAAGCTACCATGTTTTCCAAGTCACATATAAACAAAATAAAGAGACCCCTCAAGAATTTTCTTTTTCCTACTAGACACATCATGTCTACATTTTCTAAGAGTTTGAATACTTCCATGTGAACCTAGCTAAAGCCCACGGTTTTCTTCAATCCCATGATTACTTCCTTTCCCAGAACCTGCAGGTAGCACAGATTCCATGTACAATTTAAATACTGACTTCCCTCTCATGTACCAAAAATAATTCATGATTCCAGGAAAAAATTTAAAGCTGTAGGGTTGGCAATGACATCCACATGCAATTTCCTGACTGTTTACTTCACCCTCTTTCCACTCCTCACATCAAAATAGCTAACTATAATGTTCCTTGGGACAACCCTGCTGGTGTCATGGTGGCAGCCTATTCATGATCGCTCTCTTTTTAAATTTGACTTGAACGCGATTTGTCCATAACCCTGATACATTGGACTACTTGATTCTGCCCATATTTCCCTGATTCTGGCATTCATTGTACATGCTCAAGCCATCACCCGTGCTGCACTGAGACATACCGTTGTTGAGCATAGAGCTACAACCAGTCCAACGTGGTTACGATCACATACCAGGGACCGGCCAGAAGGACTGGGAAGGGATTAATATGGGAATAGATCTACAACAATGGAGAATGGCAAATGGTGTCTTCCACACATCACATGGGCCAGAGGTGGTGTAAATCTAGCCATTTTTTTCCCAGACCCACGGTCCCAGTCTGCAAGACCGTGGACGTCGCCATATTTATAATTGGCTTTGTTTGGTTGTGATATAATTCATTTGTTAAGTTTCAAGCATTGAATGGTGGTTAGTATTGTAACACACTCTATGTAACTTTAAACCAACATTTAAACTTATGTTATGAAATTGCGAAAGACGCGAAGGTTAATAAATGCTGGAGAAAACGGTGCAACAAGAAGGGGATCAGGCAACCAGTGAGGAGAATCGAGGAAGCCGAGGAGAAGCTTTTCCGGGCAGAGTGTTTAGGACCTGCTTGTAGGCAACAAGGCTTTTTTTTCTTCTTGTCTGCTGTGAGGCGTGATATCCTCTCTTCAAACCTCTAGTGACAGTCTGCAACCACAACAAAGACCTTTTATAAAACTTTGGAGTGCAAGGGCAACCGGACTATCCTCTCTGAGGCCCAACATCTCCCAATTTTTAATGCCTTTCCCTTTTTGCTCTACCCTCCCGGGGTAAAGAGCCCAGTTGCCATCAGCTGGACTCTCCCCCTAATCCTGTTAAGTTAGGGTTGAGTGTTATATCTCTGTGATCTTTTATTTGGTGATCTTAAACTTTTACAACTTTTTCAGAGAAAGTAATCTTAATATATTTTCAAAGAACCTAATATTTCTACATTTTACAAGAGTAAATTTAAAGTTATTAATGGGCATTTTTATCTCTATTTATTTGAGCAGTTTGCAGAGGGCCTATGATCCTTGAGTGAAGGGTTCCATAGGAACCCCAGGCCATGTAACTTGGACACTCTACCTGCCAGATACTCCAGGGATCTGAGCCTACACCCTCTCAGCTCCCACCAGCACTTCTACCATTATATTTTGATAAGTAACACCACTAGGAAGGAAAGGAGCGTTACAGTGGGCCTACGCCTAAGAACGCATTCTTGGAAAGAGGTGAAGATAAGTTATGTCAGGTGTCCCAGAAAGAGATGTGGGTCGTCATAAAGAATGGATGTAAACTCAATGTTCGGATGTTTGTTCTCGTTTTGACTTTTTAAAACTAAAGGACCCATCATGGACAGCAGAAACTATAATACTAAATGCTCTACTTTATGACCTTAGTTTGTTCTTGCGTATTGTATTTAACAAAAGAAAGCCCCAGAAACTGCTTCGTGGATGTAAAATGAGATTAATAAATGAACAAATCCAAAAATCCTCACAAGAAAAATATGAATAAAAAATACATATATAGGTTATTTACCTAGGATAAAGAAACTGATGATAAAGGATGAAAATCAATCCTTGTTAGGAAGTGTCTGACACACTCACATAAATGTTTTTGGTTTGTTTCTCATTTGCTTTTTTTGTTCCTGGTTTTTGGAATTTTTTTTTATTTTTTTATTCTGATGCTATGACACTGACCCAAACTCTTATCTTCCCCCCCTCCCCTTTTTTCCTTCTTTTCTTTCTTTTTTTTTCCTTGTTTGCTGTTTCCTATTCTTTTGGTATCTTCTTATAAGTAGAAATGCCAATTGGGTGCCTTGGGCATGTGTGGCAAATAAATATATATTAAAAATATTCAACAAAAAAAAATAATGTTCCTTGTCCCAATAACTTCTGTCTTCCCACCTCCTGAATTTTCAACTGGCTAACCCTTTGCTGCCAGTTTAATAATTTGCTATTGGCATCACATGCATGTTTCCTTTGTCTTTTTCTCTTTCCATTTCAAGCATTTGCCTTTTTTCAATTACTTGTTCACTCTCCTCCACTTTATGTCTCCTCATTCCAAAACTTCTCCATTTTCTAGTGCATAGGCAGAGCTTAACATCACTCCACGGACCAACAATTAATTCATTCACTATGAGGAGCGAGGCTGAAGTTATGTCACCAATTTCAAAGGGAAAGATCAATGGGATATTTGGAACACTTCACATTTTTAGGTGGAGCTTTTTTGAAATTCTCAAAAAGAAGAATGAAAGAAGCTGAGGCTAACTTGACTTCAGTCAATTTTCCCTCCCTGACTCAGGGAATGCAATCAAACTTTTCACACATATAAAGGGCCTGTAGTCTAACACTCAAGTAGTTCTAAGAATGAAAAATCAAGAGTTCTACTGCCACCTAGCATCCTTACAAAGCAATTTAGGGAACCAAATGAGATGTTTCTTCCACTTTTGGCAATGAATCTCTATAATAGACACACCTTACCTCACTGCCTCACTCGCCTCATGCCCAATGGGAGATTCTCGGATAGGAACTTGTTGCAGTGAATGTTGCCTCTGGCACTTTCATTAGTCTCAGTGAGAAGCAGCTCAGGACCTTCCAGTAGAGAGCTAAGAACTGCATGCACCAACCTTCCAATCCCTGTTGAGAGGAAAAATTAACTCCTTAGAAACTTAGATCATGTACATACACAACATAATTTCTTTCAAGTTTAAAATGTAAAATAAAATTCTCATACCAATTGTTCGACTTCTGTATCCTCATGATGCAGACATGCCATTGGTTTCAAAAAATTTTCTTGGATCAACTGCATCTCATTTTGTTTTTATTTTAATATAGGAACAATGATTAAGGATAGTTTTCACTATTTTTCACGGCGATAAGTTTTCCCTCCATTATAGGGAAGTAATTGTTCCCTATAATGGTTCCCTTTATTCCATTCCATTGAAAATAAAAATTGAAGGGTCACTGAGACGACCAGAAGATTTCAGGACAAGACTGCATGTCGTGGTTCGAACGATGCACGAAGAATGACAGCACATAGAAGAAAACACCGTATTTTAGAAAATGCGTCAAATCTCACCTCTTTCTTAAACCTAACATGTATGGTGAGTGCAATTAAGGGGGAAGATCAGTCGAGGCTGCCGCACACATCTGGAATTTACCTAGTCGGCATGCGGGGAGACATGGCCAGGAACACAATACTCTGTCGAGAGGTAATCCCGCTCCGACTCCGCGGCTCGAGAGCTCCCATGAAACTCAAACATGGCAATAGTCACGCCAATCGAAATTCCTTAGCAGATCCATGGCTGGCGAAATCCTGTAAACATAGGCCAACCGTAAAACTACGCTCGGTGCAATTGAGACATGCCGATGGATATGTCGAGCCTGGTTTACACGAAGGATGAGACACGAGTGCAGGTAAGGAGAGGCAGAAGAGGAATACAGCGTTCTGATTGAATTCGTAGCTAGGAAAGGAGTGTATGATGCTGAATCTCCATAACTTGGAGACGCCATATGGGACGGCGGGAAACAGCAGCTACTGACATCTCGCGGCTAAAGTGAGCATGAATATGGACATATTCTCGTGAATCCTCGTGAATCTTTCCTCGTGAATCTTTCGGAAGGACGTGGCTACATCTGCCTCATGATGAATGTGGACTAAGATCATGAAGACACCAGCTCTCGAAAACACGGCACGAAGATGGGGAGGATGCAAAGGAGGCTGTTGCAGCATGCCACCCCCAGCAGACCCTCTAGAACCGATCGTGTTTCGGTCATTTCGAGTGAATGATTTTTTTTTACGAGTGGAATGAATGCTCCTTTTCTAATGGGACGATTTGCTTTGCATTCGTGATGTGCATAACAATGTGGATTTAATGTCCACTACATTCCTTAGAAAATGGGACTCCAGTTATAAGAGGGCCTTCGATAAATCAATCGTTTATACGATGAGGGTGAATCTAGAACACGACTTAATGCATGTGGAAATTATTCTAAGTTACCGTCACAAAATAATACCTTCAACCAAATCGAGATGGCGCCTAAATCGTAGTTACAGCGAATCTTTGATACCTCGTATATGCCATGTTGATGATCCGTCCGCGTGAACGACAAAGAAATCCTTTTCCATAAAGGAGACCCTTTCTTTTCAAGAAAGGTGAGAGAGAGCGGAAATTCGGAGTTCATTAGAATAAAAAGTTGGAAGTAATTATGTTGGAACCAATTCTTGGCAGCAATGAAGTCGCTTCACACGCGATTTTAGCTTCTATCATCCGTCACATATTGCAAAATGGGTAGTTCTGGAAGTTTTTGAGATTTCCCCCTCGAAACAAAGGGCAATTATTTCAGCCCTCTGAGTGCACTTATTTATTACTGATGGAAACAAATCTTGTTTCTAACAAAACACGATGATCAAATTGTCCCTGATGGAGGGAGCCTTTTTCCCAGATATGGACACCTGTGGATTGACCAACACCCCAACAGGTTTCTAAAAGCTCTCACCTAACTAAAGGTAAAGAGAACGAGAAAGAAGCTCTATCTTCGGTATTATACGAGGGGCGTTTGATGAGTTTCAAGAATCGGCCTCACCCACATATCTTGGACTGATCTTACGATTTCCCGATTTCGATTACAGTGGTTATTATGAATTTTCTTGGAATTTTTGCCCGTAATGCAGACTCGCGCTGCTCAAAAAGGGGGGAGTGACCGGATACCCGAATTACAATCGTCGAGAAGAGACGAACGTGCGATGATTTTGTGTTTTCACCCGAGTGATCCAGCATCCCTGTGCCGCAGCAAGCTAAAATAACGGAAAAGCTTGGGCCGTAAAGACGGTAAGACGCCTTGTCCGCTTCCAAACCGAGTCGCCACTTCCTTCGACAGCTAAACCGTTGCGCGCGACCTCGTAGCAGTACCACGTTAAAGGACACTGCGTTCCCACTTTTGAGGCGCTTTTGGTAAAGTTCTTCAAATTTTGAATGTTCCTTGATGACATACCGTCTGACACTGTTTCACCTTCATCGATGAGCGAAAAGTTAAGTTTTTTTCCTGCAGAAAAAAATGGTGATCATGACGTTCCCAACAGCTCTTTCACGACGCAGTTTCAACGGAAAGAAAAGAGGTAGTTTAAGGGAGATCGCCGAGTCCAAGGACCAAAGACCCAGTATTTTTCATCTATTGGAGACTGTTTTAAAAATTGTAGAGGACTCAGGGGAGGCGAATTAAGTACGTTGTAAATCACTCAACATTCGACATAAGCCACTCCGTTAATTTTATGTACCGTCTCTTCAGATGGTACATAAAATGGCCTTCGCAATGGTCTTACGAATCTCACGGACAGTTAATTTTCGTCCTTCACCCAGCAAGTTCCGCACTTTTTCGACATTTACCTCAGTTGCCTCACGCCCACCTTCGCTTGAAGCGCGACCTAGGCAAAAATTCCTGGTTCGAAAAAAAGGTTATACCACACATGCACGACTGGGAGGGATGGGGCTCGTACCCGAAAGGCCTATTTTATATTGCTGTGGTCTCCATCATTGATTTCATATTGACGCCTGCCAACAGCAAAATCTATAAATCATACATGTCTGACCTTTCAGAAGCAGAGCATGGTGAGAAGCCAATCACCCTTTTTAGAGATGCATTAGAAAAAAAGTGAAACAAGCCTACTACCATAGAAAAACGTCCATCATTCTTCGCCGACTTCTGGGGTCCAATTGTGCAACTGCATCAAGACGGGGACATGGAAGTGAAATTTTAAAAACATTTTATCCTGAAGGGCGGGAGTAGCAAAATCTGGGTAAAGGGCAGCACCCCACGTCGTCCTATGGCCAAGAGGAGGTTCCAACCCTCCTGGAGGCGGGGGCCCAATCCCAGGCTCCCAATTCCAATCCCATGCAGGTTTTAAAGTGTATTGCCCCCTTTCGTGATTGAAATTATTTCCATTGTACATGAAGTTCTTCTCATTTATTATTATCAATGTCCATTTGAAATCCCAGAATCTGTGACAAAGAATACTTCCTGATGATAACATTCGTTAAGAATGTGTTGAATTGCATATAGATCGGTTTCTCACCGGGCCCATTGCTGTTCAGTGGGTGCAAATTTTTTATATTTCTTTTTTTTCTATCCTGAACGTGTCGGAGAATCTTACAAGTGTGTATCGTTTTCATTGTCTGCGCTATGGCATTTTTGCTATGGTGTGCTTGTTGATGCTATGTGCTATGACATACAGGGTGCGTCAGCTATTTGAGAACAAAATTTGACTTTGAGGAAAACAAAAATATTCAGTAGAAAAATCAATATATTTTCACAGAATTTGGTACACATGTTCTTACATACAAAAGGCTATTCAATAAAACCGCCTTCAACCTCGATTACGGCCTCGATGCGGCTTCTGAAACGACTACATGCGTTGATCAGGTGATCCTTATTTATGTTTGCCATAATGTCCCAGATGGCAGCCTTCAACGAGTCCTTGGTATTATGGGCATGCTTGTTGGTCTCCCTCTCAACGACGCCCAAGACGTAGTAGTCCAGAGGGTTTAAATCAGGAGAGTTAGGAGACCAAATGTTAGGGGTAACATGATCGTGAAAATTTTCGGCCAGCCACTCCTGGGTCGTGCTGGCTGTGTGAGAGGGAGCAGAGTCTTGCTGGATACACGTACGGCCTCCCCCGAGCCGAGACGCTGTCAAGACCTGGATTGAGGGAGTGGACATTTGCACACCTGGTCGTGCCTGTACAAGTATTCCCTCTGGGCTAGTTCGGGGCAGGCACTGAGGAGGTGGTGAACCGTTTCCGGTGGTCCATGACAGCATCTGCAGCGGTCTTCCACCTCCAGCTTCAGGATGTGCTTCTCGTAGTTAAGAGTTCTAATGCACTGGTCAACACGTCCGAGTCGATCGATGGTTTATCCATGATCTTGGGATGCTGGCCATGAAGCGGTTTCTCTTTCCATTGTGCCTCTCTTTGTCTGCCGTCTTCACATCCGTCGTGTCGCAGTCGTCATGGAGATGGAGTGCGTTTCGGAAACGGGTAGCATCTCCCTGGATGGAGTGGGATTTCTTCAGGGCATCTCGCTCTCTCAGGATTGAAATGAGTCTTCCCTGCTTCCTTTCGATGTATCTGGCGACTTCGCACGTCGTCCGCTTATAGAGGGACTCGAGTTTGATCAGTCCCCTCCCTCTCTTGCATCTCGGAAGGTACAGTCTTTCGTCGGCAGCCTTCGGATGGTGGGTGTGATGCATGGTCGGGAGTTTTCTGGTCGCTCGATCGATGGCCTAGAGTTCCGTAAGTGACCGAAGCTATTGAGGCTTCGACATCAACTCCTGTCCCCACCGTTCCGACAATTCCCGTCTCTAGAATAAAAACGGCCTGTCGAGCCAGAAATCATGCTCCGCCTGAGACGCAAACATAAGACAGCAGTCAGTTTGCTTCGTGCGCTTGGCAGCCACGGAAGAGTTCTCTTCCACACTTTAAGGGCAGAGATCTTATTTTTGCCGGACAGCTCGGTCTTTAGTACGAGGCGGACTCTGCGTTTGTATTCTGTCGTCAGTCTTTGCTTCGTGCGCTTGGCAGCCACGGAAGAGTTCTCTTCCACACCGAGATATTTAAAGGTGTCAGTGGCGGTGAGCTCTCGGAGTTGTTCGTCGTTGATGGTGGTGAAGTCTCCCATAGGGGTAAGGACTCCGCGGTGGACAGAGAATTTCGCGCACTTGTCGAGTCCGAATTTCATGCAGATGTCTTTCGAGAAGATGATGACGACGTTGAGTAGGCTATCGAGCTCTTTCTCGTTGGAGGCGTAGAGTTTCAGGTCGTCCATGTAGAGAAGGTGGTTCATACGATGGTCTGCATTCTTCCCCTTTCCTACGTAATAGCCCCATTCAGTCCGAGAGAATTCGGTACTGAGTGGATTGAGAGCCAGGCAGAAGAGGAGAGGAGACAAGCGTGTCTCCATGAACGCGCGGGTTGTCAGGGTGGAGTCTTGTCCATTTAGGGACATGACCTTCTTCCAGCGGAGCATTGTCTGTTGTAGGAAGTTGACCACCACAGGGTTGATCTTGTACATCCTGAGGCACTCGATGATCCATGAATGGGGCAC